TATGCACCCATGTTCTCAAGTAGGGCAATGGGTGGTGGAGCTATGACCATAACATGTTTTTGCCATGAATGCATGCATGAGAGGAAGGAAAAAGAGGGAGGAGGGTGAGAATGAAATGTTAACTATGGAATAAGAACTTAAATATGGTCATGCTTGCTTTCAGTCAACAAAAATAATTATATGTGCATGCATGAGATGAGAGGAAGTAAAAAAAGGGAGGATGCGCTGATAATTTATGTTTTTTTTTAAAAAAAAATTATTAAAAAAAAAAAAAAACTAGAAATACCACCTCTAAGAGCATCCACAGTAGGGGATGTAAATTCGGGGGTGTAAAGCCACTTTTACATCCTCTTTACACCTCCGGGGGGTGTAAATATGTTTTTTGCTCCAATTGGGGGTGTAAATTCGGGGTGTAGCCGTGGGTCCCAACCTTTTATGTTGACTTTTCTTCATTTTTCTTCTCTTTTCTCGGGTGGGTCCGGCCTGCAAGGGATGTAAAAATAGATGTAAATATACATTTTATTTTACATCCCTATGGCGGTGATGTATATTTACATCCATTTACATCTCCCTATTGGAGACGATTCCGGTGACTCGGGGTGTATATTTAACCTACACCTCCATATACACCTCCCCACTGTGGATGCTCTAAGGTGGTCTTATTTTACTTTTCTCAAAGTACAATTTGAAAATGCAAATTAAGAACAAAATTAAATGACAAAGAAAACAAAACACGCATACTAATGGCCCTTTTGATATACAAGTGGAGGTCTAATCATTTGTCATTATGAAATTTCTAATCAAATTCCATTGAAATTTTCATTTAAAAGTTAATTTTCTAGGTTTCCAGAACCTACTAGTTTGTTCATTTTTTTTATTTTCTATTTTTGGAAGCAAACACAAAACTATAAAAACGAAAACAAAAACAAAAACTATAAAAACGATTTTACTGAAATCAACATACAATTAAAACTAAAGAAGAATAAAAGTGCCGTGCTTTAGCCTTAGATTTTACTTTAAATTATTTTTCAAACTTTTCCAAGTTTCCAAATAAAGCAATATTAAAACGTTTGGAAAAGTATTTCTCTACTTGGTTCTATTATACGGAGTTTTCGAAATATATAATGTGCCGAAAGTCATCGAAAAAACTGTGATGCTAAAACAAATGATTCGTTGTATAGTTAAGTTTCGAGATGTTATATTTATATTTGTATGTTTGAAACTCTAAGGGCTTGATAAGCGAGGACATCTTAACATAAGATATAGCATATGTTGTCTATTCTTACTCTCATCAAATTGTATATATTTAACGTGCTAAGCGTCCTTAGCCACTTCCACTAAGTTTTCTTCCCTAGGAGATCATTCCTCTTCCCGTTTTAGTAGGTTTCACCACTTCCATTGCATCCGTCTAAGTAGTCCGGGATGTAAACTTAGGTTGTAGGTTTTTTTTTAAGGGCATGCTTCTCTAAAACCACTAGAGAGCTGTCACGACCCAGCTTCATTAGCAAGATATTATCCGCTTTGGGTTTGGGCCATCTCGTTTTTGTTCATATACTCAAACTTATGGTATTTTGCCCAAAGGACATCTTGCTAGGAAGTCAAGTGCCCACACATATATGACACTTCAATTTTTCCTCCCCAAGGAATGTGGGATTGCTCACTGATCTTGCCCTTCCTGCTTTCCATCCTTCATGGATCACGTCTTACAATCCACCCTTCTTGGGGCACAGCGTCCTCGCTGGTACACTTTCAGTCGGAGTTCAACTCTGATATCATTATGTCATGACCCTACTTCACTAGCAATATATTGGCTGCTTTGGGCCTTGGCCCTCACAGTTTTGTTCATAAGATCAAACTTATGCTATCTTGCCCAAAAACCTCTTGACAGGAAGTCAAGTTACCACGCATATATGACACTTCATTTTTCCTCTCCCTGAGCGATGAGGAATTGCTCACTGATCTTACACATTCTTGCCTTGAATCAGTCAGGGCTCAAGTCTTACAAGAGCGCCCAACGTTTGCTTTTGTCAAGGTTTCGGTTGCCAAACTGCATAATAGTTTACTAAACAACTACTTATAGGCCCTTCCACTTGGCACTTTTGAAATACTAAGGTCGGGTTTCGTCCCTGCTCGAGTGGGTCTTGTAGTAGCTATCTTCTTCCATTGCACTGAACGGTAGGGATATTGGCATGGCATTATGTCACTTGGTTGTTTCTTAGGATATGGCTTTGACAGTGTGGCCTAATTGATTCCGGAACTTACAAAAGATTTTGTACTTTTAACTCGTCATTGTTTAATAGTGAATGACGAATGTTATTGACTGTTGTTGTGCCCTAGGTTAGAATTACGCAATACGAGAACCATAAACATACTACTTTTCCTCCTCTCCACTTGACACACTTCGATCTTAGGAATGTTTGGTTTTAAGAATAAGTGGTTAGCATTCTCGAAGTATCGGTTTTCTCCTAACATGTCCTAACATGTCCAATAGAATGAGTAGCCAAAGTTGGACTTGATACATCCAAAAAGTATTGGTAACTTCAATCACAAAGTTACGAATCATTACGCTAGTAATTCCTTTTATCTGTCTAACCCTAACTTATTTACTAACTCTAACTTAGTTGCTGTAAGGAGAGATGAGAATAGCTCAAGTGCCTTCAAATTTGCGTTCAAGTAAGTGAAAAATTGGGTGTAGAGAGTGCCACATAAGAAGAATTGCGATTAGCTTGACATACTAACGAGATCAATGGTGTGACAGTTTGTAATGATACAATTATTTTTATTAGTTTTTAGAACACATTATCTCTAGTATTATTGGCGTCATATCACAAGGGTGCAAAATGCATTTGACCCCTGTGATATTTTTCCAATACGTTTGGCATATATATATGGCCTGCATAGATTCAGCCATCCACTGGCTAAAAAGGAGGCGAACCAAAGATAACAAGATTCAAAGCATATTGCAGTGAGGTCCAGAGTTGATGTGAGAGGAATTTTACTTGACGTTTTGATTTGCGTAACCAAACCATGCAGCCAGCCAGCCATGCATGCAGCCAGCAAATAGCTTAACGTACGTTCTCATTGTGCATCAGTTTTGGGCCTTTTGGCTGATTTTACTTGCAACACGACCACATCTCAAATAAACGTGTTAATTTGATTTCAAAATCTTAAAAATCTTACTTGTGATGATGGAATGAAACCTTGATTGATGATGGGGGTCAGATTATTTTTTCCTTGGGTAAATTAGTTCCTCTGTTTTTCATTGTTACTGTTGATGTAATTTTTTGTAATAACTTGTAATGAAATAGGCAAGGCATTCATTATACTTGCTCTCAGTGAGCGAAGGTAGAAAAATTTAGTACTAAAAAAATTACAGATTATTAAAACTCTGAATATTCCTTAAAATTGGTCTCTTATTGAAATACTGCTTCTTAAAAGGAAGCATACCATACAATAGTACATACAAAAGAAAATAGACAGAAGTGTGCCTCTGTGTTTGTAAACCAGAATTTTTCATTATTTTCCCTTTTTGTTTTTTTTTTTTTGTTTTCGTTTCTCATGTATGTTTTGTCACATGTTTTAATTTGATCTTCTATGTCTACTAACTTACACTAGTGAACATGCCAATTGATTGTGTTTTCCTTTTGTGTTGTGAAGTATGAAGGATGTTATTCAAAGGTACCAAGCGCACATAAATGGTGGTGAAAAATTTAACGAACCGTCTATTGAGTTGCAGGTAAATGAGTTTAATGATTTACCTTTTCCATTTCGGACAATACTTCCCTTCTTATCTATAAGGAGGAACTCCACCTTTTATCTTATATTGTGGCTCAACTACAAAGTGACAAGTGTCTTCTCTTTTTTCATTCTCAAAACTGCTTTTTTTCTTTTCACTTTTAATTAAAAAAGAGAGGACACATGTCATTTTGTGATTGAGCCACTATAGAAGCCAAGAGTTCCTCCTTATGTGTAAAGAGGAAAGTTTTGTCCTTCCATTTCCCCCCTTTAAATTGTTATGCAATTAATTGTAACATGTTCTGTGAACTGCACTTTGGACCTTCAAAATGTATTTCTATAGCATATGAAGGTTCTGATTGTTTGAACATAAAACAAAAAAAAATCATTTTTTTCGTTACACTAAGGCTCGGTTGGGACTACTTCTTTAGGAAGTACGTCTGCTCATAAGTTCTTCCATTACAAAAAAAAAAAAAAAAAAATGGCAACAATCACTATTATTTGGTGACATTTGTGACTTTAGTCACCCCAGCATTAGTCACCAAATGTCACCAAATAATGGTGACTGTTGCCACATTTTTTATTTATTTATTTTATAGTGTTCTAGCAAAAATGCTTTTATATTATAAAGATGTTGAAATTTTCATTAAAAAAAAGTGCTTCCTAAAAAAGCACTTGGGAGTGCTTTATGAATAAGCACAATTTTAGCCATTCTAGAAGCACTCCAAAAGAAACCCTTAGACGTATGTATATATGCATGCAGCAGGTCGGCCTCTTGGGCTAAATATATGTAGGTGGATTTGACAAGTCCATTTCTAATGGGACTTAATTTGGTCCGCATAAGAATTAGCCAATGAAAAAATTGGAACATAGACATCAACTATCAGTCAATCAAATTTTTATTGTTTACTTTTTCTGTTAGTTGTGTTCCAAGTGTTTTTTTTTTTATTTAAATTTTTTAATTATACACATGGAAGATAGTAAATTCTTTTAATTTTTAATTATTGGTGACAAACTCTCACTTTGTTGGTTGCATTTGAGGTTTATGTTCTTGAATATTTAAGTAATTAATTTGATTCCATTTTCAAAATAAAAAAATTGTAATCCATTTTTTATAAGCTTTTCAAGTGACAGTAAGATTAGACTGACCTAAATGATGGTTTAAGTAATTCATTTGATTCCATTATCAAAATAAAGAAATCGTATGTTTAAGTTGTTTCCTTTTCTGGGCTGATGTTTATAAGCTTTTCATGTGACACAGATAGATTAGATTACCTAAATGACGGTTCCATTTCTCATTTTAGCCAGAGTATGAAAACCACATCAGATTGAGCAAGGAACTTAAGGAGAAGAGCCGCCAGCTGAGGTAATAAATTATTAGTAAATTTAGGTTATAGCCAAAAAAAAAATATTTCACTTTTGGAAAAAGCCAAATCTTAAAAAAAAAAAAAAAAACAGAAAAACCTCTCAACTTTCAAATCAAAGACATGCAAATGTAAAGGATTCCTTAGGAAATCCAAAAATAAATAAGGGTAATTTTGTCTATTTTTACTTATTTTACAAAATTTCTCATTCCTTTGTGTTTTTCTAAAGTCTCCCATAATTATTTCATTCATGAACTTGTAAGATATATGTGGCTGTTTAGCTGGTATTATATCGTTTGATGTATCTGCTGAAATTGGACTGGCTTGCAACAGGCAGATGAAAGGAGAGGATCTTGAAGAGCTGAATTTTGATGAGTTGCAGAAGTTAGAACAACTGGTGGATGCAAGCCTTGGCCGTGTGATTGAAACTAAGGTCTGCCCTAGCTAATTTCTTTTATAGTAAGCATGGTGCTAAGGCATCACTCTGTGTTGTGGTTTAGGGCTCATTTGAGAGTGATTCTGGATGTGCTAGAATCATTTCTGGGAAAAAGCATCTTCCATGTGCTTCTCCATATAATCACTTTTAGTGATTTTAATTGATTCTGGGGAGAAGCACATCATATGTGATTCTGGGGAGAAACACATCATATGTGATTCTAGGGAGAAGCACCTCATATGCGCTTCTTCCTAAAAACACTTAAAATCACTGAAAGTGATTCTCCATAAAAGTGATTATTGAATTATCCAGAATCACTTGCAAACGGGCCCATAATGATCGAAACTGTTGAAGAAAGTTAGTTAAATGGTTTAATGATCGAAACCGTTGCAAATGTTTGATTCCTTTCAGGACGAACGGATTATGAGTGAGATTATGGCACTTGAAAGAAAGGTTAGACGATTAATACGTACTCTGTAAATGAAAAACAAATTTCAACTATTTACAATAATCAGGATTTTAAAAAATATATATAAATTAACATCAATAATCATAACCAAGTTTTGCTCTGGTTTTCTCTTCCATGCACCGACTCTAATTTCAGAGAGCTGAGCTTGTAAAAGCCAACAAACAGCTAAGGCAGAGGGTAAGCAACAACCACAACATGTACATATTTCTTCAGGATTCTTCTCTCTGTTTGTTTTTAAATGAAAAAAATGGGTGATTTTTTTTCTTAATTTTGTATTTTTTTGCATAGCAGATGTTATTCAGAGGAAATATTGGACCTGAGCTTATGAAGCCGGAGAGGTTGAATAATAATTTTGGTGGTGGAGGAGAAGAAGAAGGTATGTCATCTGAATCTGCTACCTCCACCACCTGCAACAGTGCTCCGAGTCTCTCTCTTGAAGATGACTCCGACGACGTCACTTTATCTCTCAAACTGGGGTGAGCTAGCTACTTTTGCTTTGCTATATATTTGATATTTATATGTTATATATATATATATATATATATATATGTTACACATATATGTTCATCGAAATTTTACATTTTTATTTTTGTTTTTTAAAATAAGAGATGGCTTATAAGAATTATCGTGAGCATTATTGCATATTATGGAGGTTCAAATAAAATAAAAATTAAGTTGCCCGCATTGTTCTATCGAAAATACAGAAATTTTCAGTTGCAGGATCTCAACACGAAATAGGCTATTGAAAACATACAGGGAGGAAATGTATTCCACTCTCTCTAGACTAGAACAACATAACCTGCATAAAGTCATATACAAGTTAAAATATCTTCACCAACAAACGTTGATGTTGATGGGCAGTTGCATTCATGGTATTTCAATTACTCTTCACCTTTTTAATAAATTAGCTTATCACTTTTTATTTTCTCTGAATTTCAGGCTTCCATAATTTCTCTGGTTAAGAAGTGGAGAGTTGTGAATGTGTGTAAGATAAATAAAGAAAATCGAGGTATTGTAAAATATCGGTGATTGTGTGTGTGTCTTAACTCGATACAAGATTGAAAAATATTGAGGGGAAAGTAACTTTGTGTTGTATCTAAGCCTATGTATTTTACGCAACCTGACATATTGCTCTTTGACTTGTATTGTCTTTAGAACTCTCTATCAATGCAGCCTGCTCTGGAGACTCTTGTGGACTTTGTATTTGCTTGGGTTATCAATGTAGCGGCATAGGCCAACCTTACTAAAGGATTCTAAGGTCTCATTTGGTGGGCGGGTCGTAGATTGGAGCCTGGTTCCAATCATGTCTCATAGAGCTTATATATGAAATAATTGTCCAATTTATTAATGAGTTCAATTTCGTTTTTCATTTAGCCATGAATATTGGGGAAAAAGACAACTCATTGGCCACAAAAAAGAAATGATATAGAACAGATGACGGAAGCAATCGAAAATGAGTTGAAGAGACGCGCGCACAAGGGTAAATTGGACAAACTGCATATTTGGACTTCCGAACTCAGAATCAGATCCATGACCCTTCGATTAGAATAGAGCGGCGTCATGAGTAAAGCTCATTTATTAGCCATGATGTATGAGCTTTTTCGGGCACCCGAGACCGTTTAGTAGTCCGAAATCCAGTTTTAAATTTTTTGGAAACTTTGTTGTTTTCCTATTTAAATTCCTTGTTTAATCCTAGAGTTTTTACGAGTATTTAAATAAATTTTACCCATGGCTAGAGTTATGTTTTGTTATTTCAATTATCATGTAAATCTTGAAGTTTTCTCATATCTTCCTAATAAATTCCAGAGTTATATGTTCTAAACTAAAATCTTATTCTAACGTTGTGTCAGGATTCGCATACAAAGAGCATACAAAATCAGGATTCGCATATTTTAAAGCCTGTATATTATTCATGTCCATTGGCCCCTTGAGTAGGGCCTGGGCTTGGTTTACTGAAGTTAGGGCTGACCCGATTCTGTTAACTTTGTTTGCGCATAAAAAAAACCCATATATGATCGCATTGGCTGCGTGGACAAAAAAGAGGAGTGGCCTGGAGAAGCAAAGACAAAGCCAAGTGTTGCGACTCGAATGGTGTGCATAACCTGAGCAAAGTAAGCTGACGCGACAGCACATGACCTGTTTCAAAGGCCATCCTCCTCCACATAAAAATAAAATTCCCTTCTATTTTTTCTTTTTGCAGCCTGACAAGTACTAAGAAGTAAACCCACTCCAACAAAAACCAAAAAAAAGAATTAAACCCACTCCAACAGAACCATTCACAAAAGGAAGTAAGATGCCACATTTTCTACTGTCACGATACAAAATCAACGGTGGATATCGCATTTATCAACTTCGAGTGCATCTGTCACTGTCGATTTGCTCAGGTTCCCTCCCCAAAAGACACCGTAAGTATATTAAAAAAAAAAAAAACAGAGAATAATAGAAAAAGGTATGTAATTGATTGTCCATAAAAGGGAAAAATTCAGTTTGAAATTCATTTTAATCCCTTCCTTCGTTGAACAGTTAGCCAGCAGGAGAAGCAGCCATTTCTCTCTCCCATTCTCTTAGTTTTTCTGAAAACACCAAAACTTCAGACCCTGGAACCCCCCAAAAAGGTAAACATTAAATAAAGAGAGGAAAACCCAGAATTTTAATTAGTTAATTAATTGATTAATTAATGGTTTTTCCTCTTTCTCCTCTTCTTCTTCTTCTTCGTCTTCTTCTTCTTCTTCTTCTTTGTGCTTTGGTACTCTAGGCATGTTGCTGTGAACTTGTGACCTATTTTGTTTGGTGGGTTTTTCTGGGTTTTTTTTTCTCTCACTTAGATCTGGGGGGCATTAAATGTTTAAAATTTAGAAGAAACCCAGGAAATGTTGTGTAGTTTTTGAGTGTATGAACATAATAATGTGAAAAGTGGTTGGTTTGAATTTTTTTGAAGGGGGGATGGTGAAGACGATGAGGAAGAAGATCAAGATCAAGAAGATTGACTACTTGCCTGCAAGGCAGGTGACCTTCTCAAAGAGGAGGAGAGGGATCTTCAAAAAAGCTGAGGAGCTATCTGTTCTGTGTGAATCTGAGGTGGCAGTTGTCATCTTTTCTGCTACTGGCAAGCTTTTTGATTATTCAAGCTCAAGGTACCAGCAACATACCTTATAATTCTTTTGACTTTTCCTTCCTTGAAAAAATAACTAATATGATGTCTCTGAAGTCTGACTTGTCTTCTCTCTGTATGGGTGAGAGGGAGAGAGAGATTCTAAGATTCAGTCATTTGGGTCCAAATATATTTGGAGAGAAGGGTGCCTTTATGGAAATATTTTTTCTTTCCTGAAATTCCATGGTCTGATATGAACTCTGGTCTAGAATGCAAAGAAAGAAAAAAAAAAAAAAAAGAATCCAAAAGCTTCTAAAAAGAAGAGAGAGAGAGAGAGAGCGCTAGATATTGTTGTACTCTTTGCAAAGGAACTAGTTCGACGTTTACTACATTATCTATATACTTCAGGAAAGTGAAGTCTACTTTTGATTAAGACAACGTCTAGGTAGGTGTCCCAATTTGAGAAATATTATTTTATTAGGAAATGTATAAAATTAATGGTTCCCTTATGAGAGACACGATATGTTAGACCATCAATCAAATCATACACTCAAACAAGAATGCGGATCGTCAATTCGACATAAAATAAAAGATAGTCTAGCTAGTAAGAGAGTATTATATAATTCGAGTATTATATGATTTGTAGTTTTCTTACTAGGGATAAAGTAATATGATGATGACTTTGGGAATTCATCATAGAAGCCTTGAAGACTTTCAGCAAGAATATCCATGCGTGCTTTCAAATAGGGCAATGGGTGGTGGAGCCATGACCATAACATGTTTTTGCCATGATTGCATGAAAGATTTTGTTAAAACCTAATTTCATAATTAGATGGGCATGCATGAGAGGGAGGGTGAGAATGAAATGTTAACTATGGAATAAGAATTTAAATATGGTCATGCTTCCTTTCATTTAACGAAATATAATTGCACATAGTAAGCACTGATAATTTTTATTAAAAAATGTTTTTTTAATTAAAAAAACTAGAAATATATCACCTCACTAAGGTGGTCTTCTTTAACCCAAAATACTCTGCATAAAAAGATACCCTCTATATGTCGGTGGTTTTTTAAGTTGTCTACGGTGTGGAACTAACGATGTTTTTTATTTATAAAAAAGTTATTATCTAAAAGACTTCTATTTGTTAGAGAGTGAATTCCGTTATTTAGATATTCTTATTTGTTAGTGAGGGCAAAACTACCTATAAGGCTATCGTGGGCTGTAGTCCAGCCTAGTGTCACGGCCCGCATGTTCAAGGCCCAACCCGTTGGATTGATCATGCTAGACCTCTTAGCCCACATGTCCAGATTCGTTGTATAGTAGTTGGTAGACTACAGTTGGTGACAGTAGTTGGTAGATGTTGGTAGGTGACATTGTATCTTACCCACCTACTGTGGTGGTAGGTGGGATAGGGATAGTATATAAGGGGGATGACACATTGTGTATCCTCACCTCACAACTTGTAAAGCATTTGAGTAGCAATACAAGCATATATTCTCCCAAACTCTGTTAAGCATTCTTACTGTTCTTGCTCTTGCGATTGTTCTTTGCTTGGTTCGATCTTGTATTGTAGGAAGGAGGCTGACTTAGCTTGTTCGAGAGGCGATCAAGTCTAAGGCCGCACGGAAGGAAGACTCCGAAAAAGTCATCCCGTGACAGTTGGTATCAGAGCGAAAGCTCGAATCATTCGAAGAAGCATGTCGAAGAGCGGATCCGATGTGGAGACTGATCTGTCCAAGGTCAATATGGATCGTGGGGGCAAATCAAAGAGGGAACGATCTAGAG